AAGCGACGAGTACGGCATAGCGCACGCACGGCGGCGGCCGCCGAGTACGGCGCCGTATGAGTTAACGGGTTTTCCAGCCGCTAGCTTTTGGGTGTACGCACTAACTCTTGCTATATATGCTGGATAACTACCAAGTATACAGAATTAAAACAAAATCAGCTTACCTCCTATCTTTAGACGCCTAGCGCGACAAAGGTAGGTGCCGCTCGGCCTGGTACTCGTTAAACGAGAACGATCCTGACGTCACGTTCACATAGCGGCTAATTTCCAGTGTAGCGGGGCCTCGGGCGCCTAGTTTCGGTTTTGTTGGGCGCGCCCCAAACAAAATTTTGAGACGTCGATATCTTTAAAACTACGCACAATAACGAGAAAAATATTACAACTTGCACTTCAGGGACGCTTACTGCACTAAAAACAGTCATACGGGTCTCTCGTCTGGCTGCCGTATTGCCTCGTCTTCGGCCAATCTTTAAATAAAAAGTAATGTTCTCACCACCCGTTCCAGACCATTTCAACTTCGTGTCTGCAACAACCCAAGACGCTACAGTCTGCTATTTCCCGTTAGAAGTCATCCATAACTTTTAAATTTGGGGTTTTTACGTGCCAAACCAACGACGGGCATCTGGCACGCCCCAGCGGAGGACTGAGGATTAATTTGGGCGACCTGGGGATCTTTTGACGTGCAACCGAAAGCTCGGTTACCCGGCGCCTCCTCCGCAATAAGCCTCCGTCAGATTGCGGGCACCTCGGCCTCGCGCTTCGTTTACAAATCTCGAGTTGTTCTGCTGCCGTAGACAAGCTCACACAGACCACTGGGTGAAGGAGTGCTAAGGACAGTCACACCAGAGGCCGCGAGATCTTTGTTGCGATTTGTGTACTGGTGAGACGTCCACACCAAAAGTTTGCCCGATTGTGAACTCGCGAACGGGTTAAAAATGTTTCATTAGTTGATCACGCTCAACCTGGGAAAACAGAGCAGCAGCAGAGAGCGCGCTTGTTTTCATTTTGACCAAAACCGCACGCCTGGTGGAAAAGTTAAAGGCCGACAACTAGGAGCAACCAAAAAGGAGGAAACTCTCCCGATTCCTCCTTTCGATTCAGAAAGAGGAGACCCTCCTCTTTCCTGCGGGCTCAAAGTAGGGACCCGCTCCTGTGGGGAGAGGAGGGACGGAGAGGAGGAGGCTGGGAACCGGTTCTCTTTCCCGCAGAAGACTACTCTGAAGGTCGGCCCTTTAATGGAGACTCTGACTCCGACTTGAATCACACCGCCGGGGTATCACTAAACGGGCTTTTAGAGCACTTCCGGGTGCAGTTTGCGCCATCTGTGTTAATTTCCGGTCATTTTCTCCCCTTTTCTTTTGTTTGGGACATTGCAAGATGATCGACACACCGACGAAGCGGTACACAGAAGGCGCTGACGCGACGCCGCTTAAAATAAATAGGGTCGGCAGTTTTGTGTGGCTTTCGGTATTTTGGAGCCTGAGCCGTCGTCCTGTCCTGCACTGCAACTCAAAATAAACAAAGCTGTAAAAAAAATCATTTCTAAAGCACATTATTACACGCGGTCATTGCTGCTTACCAAAACTCCCAAGAATGCTCACGATTCACAAAGCACGGCTTACTAAACGAAGAATAAAGACACTCAAGAATGCACTTTACAGACGAAGATTGCGAAGAAGAAATCGAAATCGGACGAGTTCGGGCCATGCGAAAATACCATTGGCGTCACTGAATTTCCTGAGATTAAATTTGGCCTGATAAACGTGCACATGTGCGACACCAACTCAAGGTGCAGCGTACGGTGTTCATGCGATAAACATTTCATGAAGTAATGTGCAAACTGCGAACCAGTGTAACACGAATGCAGAAACGGTTGGTTTCAATACGAGTCCACATCTTTCCGGCGATAGTAATTTTATTGTTTCCGACTTCTTGCCGAGACGGTGACGAGACGTTCTCGTCAGAAAGAGGAAAACAAAGCGAATAAGATGCGCATCACAACATTACCAAGAACCACTCGTCGGACTACATGAACTTGGAAACTCGGCCCGTAAAAACGTTGCCCGAATTAAAAGCCAAGCCGCCACGATATAAGTCATGCCCAACGCCAATTGGGGCTCACTGCAGTCTATGACAATAACAAACCGCGGACGAAAAAGAAAAAAAAACTGCACAAGTTTTATGCTGTTGTGTCGATGACGTCATGAAGGCCGACGAGCAGTCAGAAAGAAGGAAGCTCTCCCTCAATTTCTCCTTTCCATTCGAGAAAAAGGAAAACCCCCCCTTTTGCGGGAAGTAGTTCAGAGACCCGCTCGTGTGGGGAGAGGAGGCAAGAGGAGTGCGATCGAGAGGGAATGGAGAGAAGGAAACTGGGAACCGGTTTTCTTGGCGGCAGAAGACGATCAAATACTTTACTAGCGGGAACAGTGACCCCGGAAGTGTATTCTACAGGGGGGGAATAGCGGTCAAAATAAAAAGCAGGGGGGGGGGGGGGGGGGGTTAAAAAAATTGAAATTGAAAAACCATTACCATTTTTTTACTGTTTATAGAAGGTTTATTATCATTACATATACCGTGTGTCTATACATTCAGACTAGGACCAGCACGCCTCTTCAACGTCATCAACCTTCCAACCCGATATCGTTTCATGACCCCTTTAATAACTGACTTTTTTTTTAATTCGTTTATTTACTCCCATTTTACATATGGGGGACTTGAACAATAAAGCAAAAAACATACAACAAAGTAACCTTGGTGGCTAAAGTATTTAGGGCTCAAACCGCCTCGTCCACCCTCTTCTAATAACTGAACTCCCGTGTCCCAAACTAACAAACTTTTGCATACAAAAAAATGAAAGAAATAATTAAGACTTAATGCGATTGTACAGTAGCATGCCACTGTCATTTTGGGCACATTCACGGGTATCTCTCATGAAGATCAAGGAGGTATTTTCAAACTCCCCTCCTACATGCTGTCTGATTTAAGGGTAAAATGTTTCAATTAGTTTGGAAATGGTCTTGTTTCTTCTAAGTTAAGTCAGAAGTGGCCAGGCTGGCCTGGCCTAAAAGCCGCAAACAAAACCACTAAACTTCCAAAAGACGCCTAAAAAAAAATGTGGGGGGGGGGAGGTAATTTTTGTTTTTTTTTTTTGACCATTAAATGAAATTTGAACTACTTTAGGTCTATCCAAGTCAAAAGCAGTTGAACGTCGATGACGTCTACATGAAAAGGTCGTCGATTCCTCATGAAATGAGCTTGATGACATCATGAACTGCGGCTCATAAAGTCATCGACTGCCGTTAGTAACGTCAACTACTGAGTTTGATGACGTCATAGACTGCGGTTGGTGACGCCGTTTACATGAAGTGGTTATCGACCATATTCCTATTGGTGAATTCAAAGTGGTCGCCTCTCTCCTCTGACCTCAATTCAGCAGAGCGCCCCCTCCTCGCCGCCAGAGCTACTCGAGATCCTTTTCAGCCGATCACAACTGCTCGCTTGAGAGCGCTCCGACATCCTCAGACCAGTCACGGAATTAATATTTCTTGACATTGGTAAGGCATTAAAAACAACACGATCTTACAGCGTACGGTGGACGATTGAGCAAAATTTACGCTAGCAACGTGATGAAATAACGGTTCTGACGTAAACTGCTTTACGCAAGAAAACAGCAGTATGCGAATTGATTTTTGCAGAACGGAACGAAAGCCAACGCTTGGAAACAGTTGTCAACTAATCGCGTTTTCGATAGTGAACGCTCTGCGATAGCGCTCATGCGTACGACAAAGCAGGAAAATATAAAATGGTTAATAAACCGCATTTTTCTCACGGCGAAATATCATGCAAGCATCGCAAGGTGACACAAATCACAGTGCATTATATTCGGCTCTCCCTTTATTTTACAACACAAACCTTTGAACGCACTTTTACCAAACCTCAAAATTTCTTGAAGCGACCACAAAACCCGGTAAAAAAGCGGCGAGCTCTGCGAGCTGTTTCGTCATCGGTTAGGCTTAGCGGATTCACCGCCGTGAGATGAATCATCTCGTGAAAGCACTGGGAATACTTCACACATCGACTTTTCCTGTTACGGTCGCAAACGAATGTCGTCCCGTCCGTTGTAATCCGCGCACCGTCGAATGCACAAGCACTTTGTAGAACCACATATCAATCGCCGTCATGCCATACCCCGCACACCACCACGGACTACTGCCGGCCATCGTCAACAAAACCACGTGATCCCCGTCCAAGTACCACGTGACGCCTGCGCCGCTCCGCACTCCGACGGCTACCAACGGAATGCCAGGGAGCGCTCTGAGAGGGAGAGGCGCCCTCGGAATGAACCACCCGATCAGGCCACAGCACTCTCTTTCAACCACTTGATTTCGCGCGCCCTGAAAAGAGCGCTCGAGAGCGCGCAGAAAGAACCACTCGAATTCGCCATATGACGGTGAAGCGGACTTACCGAGGGAAGCGGACGTGTGCCAACTTCCCTTCTACACGTGTGTAGTGCACACAATCGACTTTTCAAGGGCAATCGGAAACACTCATGTAAGCACACCGAGTCGATAACAAAAGACATAGTAGAATCGATACTAAACTAAATCAAAATACTTGAAACAACAAAGCACAGCGCCGAGGTATCACGCGAATGAGATTGTCAGCGCACCCCAGCTCGTGGAAAGAAAGCTCGCGCTGCAGATCCCAGGGATCCCGGGTTCAAACCCCACCCCCTGGCCGTTTCGATCCGGGCGAGCGTCGTTCCGGCGAGCGGTCGTGCCTCCCTACTACGTGGTGCCGGTCCAAGACCCCACGGGCTAGGAGTGGTACTCCACTGGCTAAATTTCTCATACAGCGGAGACGGCAGACCTCCATTGGGACCGACCAACTTCCCCCCGTCTAAACGAACACAGAACGCAATTACGAATAGGTAACGGGTTTAACGGAGAGTGGTCAATCGTAGAAGCGATCTACGCGTGTGAGGTATGAGTGAGGCTTACAACAGATCCATCATCGACACTGAGAGTTCCCGCACACTCGAGCGTGTTTCTGTCAGGCCCGGTGAGTAAACCTCGTAGACTTTGGAATCGGCTTGAGAACTCGAGGGCAACTCTGGCGGTGGCGGCGACAGCACGGGAGCTTCGACAGCCATTCCAGTCTTGGCATCGTGATAGAAGGTTTTCGCGATGACGAAGGATTGACCGGAGTGCAGCGGACAGACCTAGAGAAACAGAGCGTTCGCTGGACATACACACACACACACACACATACATCTATTGTGAGTGCGCGTCGTATAAATTTCTGGCACTTTCAAACTAAAAACTGATTTTTTTTTTTTTTTTTTTTTACACTTTGGGACGGCTACAATAACACGCTTTGGCACTGCAAGAGATAGCACATCTTGGGTGCCCCATGAGCGATATAAAACATTCATTTCCATATAAATAAACAATGTTACGAAAGCTCGGCTGCAGTCTACGTATTAATTCACTTGGTTAAAGTCTGCTTCTGGAACATGAAAAAAAAAAAAAAAAGTTCTGAAATGTTGACGAAAATAATCCCTGGAGAAAGGGAACAAGAGGGACAAAGGGCAAACACAAATCTCCGAACACAGCTAGGTCACTGGTGCGCGACTGTGTGTGTCTGTCCTTTGTCTTTTTTGTTCCCTTTCTCCGGGGATTATTTTCATCATTCTTGTTCAGCTCGCTTGCACCTTTGCATTTAATTGCATTATAATCATAACCTTAAATTACAAGCTTCACCCTTGTTGGTGTTAGACTGGTGGCAGCTGATAAAACCCGTTTGCTCTTCCAACGTCTAACCCCTGGTTAGCTCAGTTGGTAGAGCGCTCCACCTGTAATGGAGAGGTCCCGGGTTCGATACCCGGACCAGGCGGATTTTTTCGGTCGCGCACCAGTCACCTAGCTGTGTTTGTCCTTTGTCCCTCTTGTTCCCCTTCTCCGGGGATTATTTTCGTCATTCTTGTTCAGCTCGCTTGCACCTTTGCATTATAATCTGAAGTGTTCTTTTATTCACCGCTTCTGTTTCCTTTCAACAGAGTCCTTCAATCTACGGGTCACGAAACTTGTAATGCCTCTCCCAAGACTTGTGTCCTCTCCGACCACCATGAGAAAAGACGAGGAGGAACTCCCCTCTCACCGGGACTCTTTTGTGTGGCCCAGACGTCGCTACTGTCCTCTACAAGATTATTGAAGATTAACCCGTCACTCCAAATTCGTACAAAAGCAGCTCTGTAATTAGTTGCGGTGGCCCGATCGCAGGCGTGCTTCGACCACTTCGGTGGCTGGAACGGCTAGGACATTCTGTCGACGTCAGCCTCGCCGTAGCTTTGCACGTCCCGAGACAATGTACGTCACGATTGCGGCGGATGTCACGTGCTCTCCGCTGTCCGGTCTCCGAGCGCTTGCTAAAGTGGGCCATCAGGCTCAAAATACAAACGTGCGATTGTCATTTACGGATATTGTGGATCATTTTCAGCCTATTTCTGAACGCGACGGGCATTTTCAAATTTCGTTTAAACAAAACGATGTTTTGCAAGCGAAAAAGAGCCAGGCTGCTAAGAAAATTGGTCGAAGTGCCTCTACTAGATGGCGCTGCTCGCGGCGCTGAATTTCGACGGTGATAGCGGCACTGAGAATTCGTTCTGAAGCAAGAAGAATGACTGAACAGAGATTCTATTTCGGAGTATGTTGCACGCAAACGGATCTATTGGTGGCTCATTCAGAGTGGGTTCGAAATTACGATTCCACTTTCTGGTCCCAGACTCCCAGCGGTGCTAGCCAAGCTAGCGGCTTTCAGCCTCCTTGTTGACGCCAGCGCCACGCGTGGTCGCGTCCAAAGCCCTCTCATAGCGTTACGGAGAAGTTCCGTGACCAGTAGCCCGTTGAATGACTCTGCCTTCACCAATGAACACCAGCCCATTTCGAACAAAAATAAAGAGAAGATGTCCATATGGCTAAGCAACCACGGAGAGCACAACAGTACCGAACGTATCTGGGTGGTCTGTAACTAGAAACATGCAATATAACACAACGAAAATGTTGCTTCGTTTCCTTCCACTCTTCCTTTCTCGCTTCAGTTATCAACTACATCTGCAACATCAGAACAGCCGTGTAAAATTTCGTCCTAAACAAGCGGCAGTCGCCGATTCCGGGAAAAATCTCCCTACGCATGCGCAGCATGCTGGACTGCCGAAAGTTCGATTGGTTGGATCGATGGGAACTCAGCTGCAATCCTAGGAGAGAAAATGGCTTGGCGCTCCTCCCGTGGCGTCACACGCGCGTCGAGCGTGAACCTACAGTCGCATCAACGAGTTCTTATTGGCACAAGAACAGGGGTGAATTTAGGGGGGAGAGGCCACCGCTCCCCCCCCCCCCCTCAAGCACCCCAACTTTGTTTTAATAAAATCATTAATATATACCGGCCAAAAGTTTAGTTTTTGGTGACAGCAAATATCGGGTCAACAAAATAGCTCTGGGCGACGCTTCGACCGTAATGTTACATTTCAGCAAACTGACTGACTCCTCTCCCCCCCCCCCCCCCCCCCCTTTTCCACCAGCCGAATGCCCACCACCCCCACTCAGGCCTGACCCATAAATCCGCCCTGGCACAGGCGTGTCATCTTGTTCTTGAGCAATCAAGAGCAGTGGAGCCATAAACCATTCATTCACGCGCGCCAGTCGTCGTGACTTTAAAGGGACACTAGACCACTTTATACGACGGTCTATTTATAGTCATAACTCAACCATGGCCCCTGGGCAGTCAAACATTACATTCATGCGCGGCACTTTTTGTCTCAAAGGTCTCAAAGATCGATTTACCTCGGGACTATCGCAGACAGCAGGAGGCGTCATCGGACGGCAAGGAAAGAATCGAGCGCATACTGGAGGCCGGGCCTCGAAAAAGACGGCCTGTCCTTCTATGCCCGTATGACTACACCACGTAATACGTCTATTAGCGGACATATCGGTCTGCTCCGTGCTACTGCAGATGCTGCCGACGCCACCTAACGAAACATGGCGATACAGATGATAGATATGCTTGCAAATGTGCATATAGTGTTCGCAATATCTACAGAAAAAAAGAAACATCTAAAATAAACAGTTGTCGATTTCAAGCTTTTCTACGACGCTGAGGACAGAGCGAGTTCGCAGAGATTCAAATGTTTCCCGCCAAAAGGGGCATCAAATTTGAGCCAATCGTAACGCTACTTTCGAAAGTCAAAGTGCGCAGCAGCCCGCGCACGCGCAGCAGTTTTCGTCGGCCACTGCCGCCATGTGGCGCGGCTCGACCAGGCATAAGCAGAAGGGGCGAAACTATGGCGAAACTCACCTTCGATGAGCCCGCAACGTGCGAGTCGTTCCGCACAATGGCGGTCACCCGCGAGGCACGCAGGTTAACTTCGTACGAGAACCAGCCCGGGTGTTTCACGCCCAGACACCCCGGAACCGAACATTCGTACGACATGCTTCCCCTTCACATTTCGCAAACCCGAGACACGCCGGTTAGAACAAAAAAAAAACCAAAGAGCCCCGCCAACGCGTCAAGCGGGAGGTCAATGGCAGCCGAGAAAGAAAGAAAAAGGCGCGCAAACCGGGCCGCCCAGCTTCCATCGCCCGCCGCGCATGCGCGCTCCAACGCAACTGCGCTACACCATCGGCGAGTGACGTCATTCGAACAGGCCAGCAGCCACGCAGCCGGCCTTGGGGGACTTGGCGGAGCGCTCATTTGCCGACTCCCAATCCGGTTCTCACGTGACCGTGCTGTCACGTGACTACACCAGTCACGTGGCCCGCGCTCGGTCGACGGCCGGCTGTCGGAAATCTCGGGTTTTCTTCCCGTCGAGCGCTCGCACGCATCTACCCCCGGAGTACTGACAATTTATGTGACAGACGTTTCAGCGAATAGTTCATACATCACGAATATTATCGTTCAATGTCCGACGACGCCAAACTTCTCGTAATAGAAGAAACCATCGTCTTCATTTTTCTTCTTTACGAAGAAGCATGGTTTTGAAGACGTTGCTACGAAAGAACGGGAGATAATGGTTGGCCACAGACACTTCCCATCTTATCGGACTGCTGATACCCAGGCCGCTTGGAGCCCCTAAAGCCGGGGTCACAATGCTTATTATACATCCTACAAAGGAGAGTCTGCATACAGATTCGAACGCGAGTCACGGCGAGATCCGTGCTTCGAACGCCGCATGGCAATGAGTTTATTATTTTTATTATTGTTATCATTATTATTATATTTATTACTAAATGTGTCCACGTTGTCATTCAATGCACGATTTCTTCTTCTTTTTTTTCGAGGCGAGAAACTTTAAGGTCATAATAAGCCTCTAGTCGAACAAAGCGGTACAGAATGTGAAACCCGAGGGAACTGCAACAACAACGAAAGAAAACGGTGCCCTTGCGTGCGCGCAATGTCACTTGGAATTCGCCAAAACCTCTAGTCGAACAAAGCGGTACAGAATGTGAAAAAAGCGACGGAACTGCAACACCAACAACGAAAGAAAACGGTGCCCTTGCGTGCGCAATGCCACTTGGAATTCGCCAAAAATTCGTCACACGTTAGGGAGTTTTAGAATAACGTGCGCAAGCTAGAGCCAAGTTTAGCGCCTGCATTAGTGCACGCAACGTAAGATCTCCCCGCCGCGACGCAAAAACCCGACCATATCGCGGTTGCAATGCCATCAAGATGGAGCAACAATTTTTATTTCACGCACAAAACGCTGTAACTTTAGAAGGCAGAAAAACAATTTGGTGAAGGGTAACATTTTAGATTTGTTTAAATATGAAAACGCGAGGGAAGCGCTCAACCGATCGTGTCCGCTTGCGTCGCCTCGACAGGAGCGGTCTCGTGTACTGACCACCCGCAAACTGTACCATCGCCGAGAAATGTTCGCACGACGCAAGCAGCAAGTTGCCGGCGATCGCTACCCACCTTGCTGGGTCTCCCAAACCGTTTCCGACGTGCACCTCCCGTAGGAGTGCGGTGTCGTTCCTGTATTGAAAATCGCAGTCGCGATGATGCCGCCAACGTCGCGCTCACGACGACCGCCAAAGCGGCCGCGGCCGCGGTCCCGGAAGCCGGCATTTGTTAGTTGTGCTTGTCTTGGCTTTAGCCAACTTCTCGGACATTTCGAATCCCCTGTGTACGCACGCAATTTCCAAAAAATAACGCACGAAAAAAAAAAAAAAAAACAAAAAAAAACGCGGTTAGAGTTTGGAACATGCGCATTGGCAACGACGCTCTTCTAAAACTCCCTGATAGGGAGTTTTAATCCCCATCACAGAACGGTGTACTGAAACTCCCTATTAGGGAGTTTTAGTACATCGTTCCGATTATGACACCCGATGCCAGAACGGTGCCTCTTCGCGCGCATCGAATATTTCCGGGTATAACTTTCGGATAGCGAAGCACGATTTTCTAAAACTGCATACTACTTATTGACGATAATGTTAATAACGAGCAGAGCTGGTTTAGGTTACACGTAGTTGAAACTGAAGACAACGGAACTAAGGGACAGGACAACTGGTCCGTTATTCCCGCCGTCTCCGGTTTTACCCCTTTGTAACTATGCCGGTCACGTTGCATGTATTTTCGTGTTGCTGCAAACTTTTGGGAAACCGCTCCACGTTTGCCGCCAACGCCTTCCAATAGTGGGAGTAGTGGTATTCGAAGTTATTACATATATAATCTACGTAAAGTACTTTAGACACCATATCACGACACAAACAAGCAAGAAATATAAAAGAAAGACATTACAGGAAGATCCATTGGCGGATTCTTAGGGAAAGCGTTGGAAACACCACGCACGTCCCCTTCACGTTTCTCTTTTGCTGCCTCTTTTTTGGTCTCGTTCCGGGGTCAGCGTTAGTGTTTCCCAAAGGGGGATGTGTATTGCGTTTCCCAAAGGCCATGCTAACGGATTCCTTACGAATCTACCAATGGGTCTTCCTGTATTTTTTTTTCACCCTTTTTTTTATACCCTGCCTGTGAGATTAGGTCGACGCCCTTTGATACGGTCATCCGCATCCCTCGTGGAAAGAACCACATCCATATCACTGGTGGAGGGAACCGCACCCATCGTTTTAACTACGCACATATCACAGCCCATGCACCGCTATACTATATACCTTTTCCGCTTACTATCGCCCCCGACCGCCAAGTAGGCATATCCGGTATGGGCGACGAAAAAATATCAGAACGTTTCAACCTGCAAATAGTAAAAAAATAGAGGGGAGGCAAAACGAGAATGTGTGACGGTTACGTTTATGTCCTAAATGCCTTCTATTGGCGTGGCGACGGCAAAACAATGTTTTCGCCCATACTGGAAGTGACGACAATTTAAGATGGCGACGCCCTTGCGAAAAAGGTCTATATACGGAAATCTAGAGCGTAGAACATCCGGCGACGGCAGAGCGGCAACTGAGCACGTCCGCATTCCACCGCGCCGCGGCGCCTCCTCCTCTCCGTGGCTGTGTGACGCTCCTTCGACGAAAACGAAAACGCTCGTTTTTGACGAAAACCCGGCGGTGTCTTCAGTTTGTCAGCGCCACGGAGAGAGGGAGAGGGTGACACAAGATGACGTCAGCACTTCAGACCAATGGGAGCGTCACACGCGTCATCCTCCCCGCCTCCTCCTCCCTCTCTGTCCCCGGTGCTGACAAACGAGACACCACCGGGTTTTCGTCAAAACGAGCATTCTAATGCGAACGTATTAAAACATGCAAGCTGAGGCTTTTTTTTTTTTTTTTTTTCGCGGGAGTGGTGCCATTTTGTCCCTTCTGACAGATTTTGTCAGGTTTGAGAGCCGAAGTGTTTACTCCAATCCGTGTCGCGAGGCAGGTTCTATTAAATTTTCCTCCGCGACGTTTGGGCACTGGCGGTAAATGGCCTGTAGAGTACTGTTCCCAACAACCTTCAGGTTTTTCCTTCTTTCTTTTTTTACCGCTTACAAAATTTTGTATTTATGCACATACATCTTTTTAAGAAACAGTCGGCCCTGGGCATGAAAGCCATATTCAAGTACCCTCACTGGGTTCGAGGTTCGTCTCCCACCGGCGTCCCGGACTGCAGTGCTAACCCTAACCGAATGAGCTGTGATTTCGCTAACTGCAGCTTGTGTATGTGCAATTCTCTGACAAGCCATTGAGAAAGCATTGTACCATCTTTGGAAATAAAAACAAAACTAAGATATTCTTGTTGAGTACGTGCACGACAGGCAGAATGCGACTGGAAAGCTGGTTTCATTTTACGCCGCGTTTTCACGCTGCCATCCAGTAAATCATGTCAACCAACAAAGCTTCTAACTGTCGCAAATATATGACAGCAGATGACACAGTTCTGAAGGCTTCGGTAAGTCCCCGCTCAGAAATACCGCGCACGCGGTACTACGTACCAGACGGTAACGCGCTGTCCGAACACAGATTGCTTGAGGATACTCACATACCACCGATGAACAGTGTCGACGACAGTCACTTCTCAACCATTAAACGGATGGGAATGCAAGAGGAACTCGTTTCGGAGTCGGACCACGTTTTGGGGAGGCCTTCCTTTTCGCAGAACACCAAAGAAAAGGAGTGGACGCGTTTGTTCCGTCTCCCACCCCAACCCGATCAGCTATTTTGGGCGATGGCCGTGAGAGACTCTCAGGGGATTATCTCAAGGGGAGAATAGTTCCCATTGTTCCTGATGTCGCTTCGGGGGTCGTTCGACGTTCCTCCCTTCGTTATTTTTTTCCGAGTGCCGAGCTGAATGGAAGGCCCTCTGGCTAGCTCCTGCTGGCTACCAGGGGTCACTACCAGTTCGGCCGGCCCTCGCGGAAGGGCCAAGCGTGGATTAGGGCCGAGCGAGCCGGAACTGCCGAGTGCGGGGGCTAGGCCGACGACTGCGAAAGGGCCGGGAGGGGTGTCAAGGCCGAAAGAGGGGGGAAGGCCGGGGACGGCGGCAAGGCTAAGGGAGGCGAAAGGGCCGAGAACGGGTGTGGGGATTAGAGCGATCAGCACACACGAGGCTACTCCGGCGTCGCGGGAATTCGTTGAAAAGAAGGCCGATAGATGGCGCGCCCTGTTTTCGCTCCTTTCTGTTTGGAGACCTGTTTAGTCTGAGAAGTTTAGTCTGGAAACCTGTTCTTTTTTTTTCTTCTTTTTTAACGCACAGTTTATTAGCAAAACTTTCATAAGGAAAAATATGAGGGAAACCAACCCGTCCTGGGTTTCGAAACCCAGGACGGGTTGGTTTCTTTAATATCTTTAATTGAAAATCCACTCGCTAGGTAGGCCAAAGTAGCAGACCTCTTATCCGCTAGGCCATGGACGCATGAGGGATTTTGCGTCAACTTTTTAGGAATATAAATAGAAAAAACGAGAATGCACATCTCCTGTTTTTATTTTTTTTTTTTAATTTCTTTCTATTACGAATTTTAGCAACCTAAAATATACTTGCCGCAGCTAAAGGACAGCAAGATGTTTACTTTCAGTCGGGAATAAAACCTGTTAAGTCCCGCTACGACACCGGAATCAAAATTTTGTAATCGGTGCGAGACAGTAGCCGTGGTTCCAGCCGGCCCGATACGCGCCCAGGCATAACTACTCCATGGCCGATCGCACCGCTGAAGTATCGTATCGAAGGTGGAAAAACGGTCTGCTAAAACTG